GAAGGGTGCATGGAGAGCTTATAGCAGCCTTCCAGTATCTGAAGGGGGGCTATAGGGATGCTGGAGATGGACTGTTCCTTAGGGACTGTAGTGATAGGACAAGGGGTAACGGGTTAAAACTTAAACAGGGGAAGTTTAGATTGGATATAAGTAAGAAATTCTTTACTGTAAGGGTGGTGAGGCACCGGAATGGGTTGCCCAAGGAAGTTGTGAATGCTCCATCCCTGGCAGAGTTCAAGGCCAGGTTGGATGGAGTGTTGGGTGACATGGTTTAGTGGGAGATGTCCCTGCCCATGGCAGGGGCGGTGGAACTAGATGATCTTAAGGTGCTTTCCAGCCCTAACTGTTCTATGATTCTATGTTGCTGAGAGGCTGCCTGGTCTAGTAAGTCCTGCTGAATATTACCTTTCTTGTGGTCCATGTGGGTGCTAGCCATATAGACAGCAGTAGCCTGGAGAAAATTAAGAAGGACTACAGAGCCCTGGGAAAGGTGGTTAGCGGCTTTGAAGCTCAGATAGTTTTTTCATCAATCCTCCAGGTTAAAGGGGAAGACCTTGAAAAGGCTAGGTGCATTTGGCAGGTTAATAAATGGTTAAATGGGTGGTGCCATAGTAAAGGGGTTTGGTTACTTAGAGCATGGGACTCTATTTGGGAGACCAAGTCTACTGGAGGCTGGTAAAGCTGGTCTGACAAGAGGAAGAGCTGCTTTGGTAGGAGAATTGACAGGCTGGCCAAGGCAGCTTTAAACTAGATGTGTTGGGGGAGAGGGGCATCGATCCATCCCAACACTCCCAGTCACTTTCAGAACCTATAATAAATGCTTGGAGCTATGCAGAGATATTTCAGCCACTCCAGACAGTAAGTCATCTTCATTTGGAACTCAGCACAGATTCCTCTGTACAAAAGCCGATAGTAGGGGGAATAAACAAGAGGAATTGGAGATGTGTGCACATCTAAAGGGATATGATATCATAGGCATCACAGAAACATGCTGGGAGGGCTGCTATGACTGGAGTGGGGGAATGGAAGGTTATAGGCTCTTTAGAAAAGACAGGGCAGGCAGAGGGGGAGGGAAAATAGCTATTTATGTCAGCGATAAGCTGTAAAGTATGGAACTCTGTCTGGGGACAGGTGATGAGTCAATTTGGGGTGATTTTGGGTCAGGGTCAAAGGGAGAACAGTGATGGGAGACATTACTGTGGGGATCTGTTACAGACTGCTTGATCAAAATGACTCTGTGAATGAAGCGCTCTATAGACATACAGGAGCAGCCTCATGCTCACAGGCCCTTGTCCTCATGAGGGACTTCAACCACCCTGATATCTGTTGGAGGGACGGTACGGCCTGGCACAAGCAATCCAGGAGGTTCCTTGATTGTGTGGAAGACAACTTCCTTCTGCAAGTAACAGAGGAGCTGACAAAGAGAGGTGCCATGCTTGAGCTTGTGCTCACCAACAGGGAAGGGCTCGTTGGAAATGTGATACTCCAGGGCAGCCTTGGCTGTAGCAATTATGAGATGTTCAACTTCAAGATCCTCAGAACAGTGAGAAAGGCATGCAGCAAGCTCAGTGCCCTGGACCTCAAGTGAGCAGAATTCAGCTTCTTCAGGAACCTGCTTAGGAAGGTTCCATGGGATGAAGCCGTAGAGGGAGAGTCCCAAGAGTGCTGGTAGATATTCAAGGATCACCTGCTCCAAGCTCAGGAGTGTTCTATCCCAACTAGAAGGAAATGCAGTAGGAGGGCCAGGAGACCTCCAAGGATGGATAAGGAGTTGCTGAGAAAACTTAGAGGGAAAAGAGAAGCTTATAAAAGGTGGAAGCAAGGACAGGTGGCATGGGAAGAATACAGGGATATTGTCCAGAAGGCTAGGGACCAGGTTAGGAAAGTGAAGGCCCAGTTAGAATTAAATCTGGCAAGAGATGTGAAAGATAACAGGAAGGGCTCCTATAGGTACGTAGCAAACAAAAGACAGACTAGGGACAATGTGGGACATGTCCAGAAGCTATCAGGAGAACTGGCTACCCTGGGTTTGGAGAAAGCTGAGGTTCTTAATGACTTCTTTGCCTCGGTCTTCACTGGCAAAGGCTCTGACCACACCACCCAAGTCTTGGAAGGCAGATGCAGGGACTGGGAGAATGAAGACCTTGGGCCCACTGTAGGAGAGGATCAGGTTTGAGACCATCTTAAAAAACAGAACGTACACAAGTCCATGGGACCTGATGAAATCCATCCACAGGTCCTGAAGGAGCTGGGAAATGAAGTTGCTAAGCCACTGGCCATCATATTTGAGAAATCATGGTATTCAGGTGAAGTTCTCAACGACTGGAAAAAGGGAAATATAACCCCCATTTTCAAGAAGGGGAAAATGGATGATCCAGGGAATTACAGACCAGTCAGCCAAACCTCTGTGCCTGGCAAAATCTTGGAGCAGATTCTCCTGGATGGCATGCTAAGGCACATGAAAAAATACAAGGTGCTTGGTGACAGCCAGCATGGCTTCACTAAAGGGAAATCCTGCCTGACCAATTTGGTGGCCTTCTATGATGAGGCTACAGAACTGATGGACAGGGGTAGAGCAGTTGATGTCATCTACTTGGACTTGTGCAAAGCATTAGACACTGTCCCACATGACATCCTTGTCTCTAAATTGGAGAGACATCAGTTTGTTAGATGGACCACTCAGTGGATAAAGAACTGGCTGGATGGCCACACACAATGAGTTGTGGTCAATGGCTCAATGTCCAGCTGGAGACCAGTAACGAGTGGTGTCCCTCAGGGATCGGTGTTGGGACCGGTCTTGTTTAACATCTTTGTCCGTGTCATAGACAGTGGGATTGAGTGCGCCCTCAGCAAGTTTGCCAATGACACCAAGCTGTGTGGTTCGGTTGATAGGCTGGAGGGAAGGAATGCCATCCAGAGGGAGCTCGACACTCTTGTGAGGTGGGCTGATGCCAACCTCATGAGGTTTAACCATGCCAAGTGCAAGGTCCTGCACCTGGGTTGGAGCAATCCCAGGCAAAGCTACAGGTTGGGCAAAGAATAGATTCAGCGCAGCCCTGCGGAGGACTTGGGGGTGTTGGTTGATGAGAATATGAACATGGGCTGGCAGTGTGCGCTTGCAGCCCAGAAAGCCAACCATATCCTGGGCTGCATTAAAAGAAGTGTGACCAGCAGGTCGAAGGAGGCGATCCTGCCCCTTTACTCTGCTCTTGTGAGACCTCACCTGGAGTATTGTGTGCAGTTCTGGTGTCCTCAACATAAAAAGGACATGGAACTGTTGGAACAAGTCCAGAGGAGGGCCACGAGGATGATCAGGGGACTGGAGCACCTCCCGTATGAAGATAGGCTGAGAACGTTGGGGCTGTTCAGCCTGGAGAAGAGAAGGCTGTGTGGAGACCTCAGAGCAAATGCTCTGACCACACCACCCAAGTCTTGGAAGGCAGATGCAGGGACTGGGAGAATGAAGACCTTGGGCCCACTGTAGGAGAGGATCAGGTTTGAGATCACCTTAAGAACCTGAATGTCCACAAGTCCATGGGACCTGATGAAATCCATCCGTGGATCTTGAAAGAGCTGGCAAATAAAGTTGCAAAGCAACTGTCCATCACATTTGAAAAATCATAGCAGTCAGGTGAAGCTCCCGACAACTGGAAAAAGGGAAATAAAAGCCCCGTTTTCAAGAATGGGAAAATGGAAGACCCAGGGAACTACAGACCAGTCAGTCTCACCTCTGCACCTGGCAAAATCTTGGAACAGATTCTCCTGGAAAGCATGCTAAGGCACATGAAAAACAACAAGGTGCTTGGTGACAGCCAACATGGCTTCACTAAGGGCAACTCCTGCCTGACCAATTTCACGGCCTTCTATGATGGGGCTATGGAACTGATGAATAGGAGCAAAGCAGTTGACACCATCTACCTGGACTTGTGCAAAGCGTGACATCCTTGTCTCTAAACTAGAGAAACATCAATTTGATGGATGGACCACTTGGTGGATAATGAATTTGCTGGATAGCTGCTTGCAAAGAGCTGCGGTCAATGGCTCAATGTCCAGATGGAGACCAGTAACAACTGGTGTCCCTCAGGGGTTGGTGTTGGGACACATGTTCAACATCTTTGTTGGCGACATGGACGGTGGGATTGAGTCCACCCTCAACAAGATTGCCAACAACACCAAGCTGTGTGGTTTGCTTCATATGCTGGAGGGGAAGGGATGCCATCCAGAGTGACCTCGACACGCTTGTGAGGTGGGCCAATGCCAACCTCATGTTCAACCAAGCCAAGTGCAAGGTCCTACACCTGCGCGGGGGCAATCCCAGGCACAGCTACAGGTTGGGCGGCGAATAGATTCAGACAAGCCCTATGGAGAAGGACTTGGAGGTGTTGGTTGATGAGAAACTTAACATTAGCTGGCGGTGTGTGCTCGCAGCCCAGAAAGCCAACCATATCCTGGGCTGCATCAAAAGAAGTGCTACCAGCAGGTCAAAGGAGGTGATCCTGCCTGGAGAAGAGAAGGGTGCGTGGAGACCTCATAGCAGCATTCCAGCGTCTGAAGGGGGCCTACAAGGATACTGGGGAGGGAATCTTCATTATGGACTGTAGTGATAGGACAAGGGGGAATGGGTTCAAACTTAAACAGGAGAAGTTTAAGTTAGCTATAAGGAAGAAGTTCTTTACCGTTAGGGTGGTGAGGCACTGGAAGAGGTGGCCCAAGAAAGCTGTGAACGCTCCATCCCTGGCAGTGTTGAAGGGCAGACTGAACAGAGCCTTGGGTGACATGGTTTAGTGGCAGCTCTCCCTGCCCATGGCAGGGGTTTTGGAACTAGATGATCTCAAGGTCCTTTCCAACCCTAACTATGCCTTGAATTTTCAAATTAGCTTTACTAATCTCTGACCAAGGCTGCCCTCTGCTTTAGTCAACATTTTATATGTGCAAGCTAATATTGCTTTAGCAAGCAGAAGGTTTTTAAGGTATAGAGAAACCATGGAGGAAGAACTTGCCTTTTCCCAGGAGTCACATGATTCTCAGCTGGAACAAAGGAAGCAGTGAAGACTTTTGTTTCAGAAAGCTGAAAGGGGGGAAGAAAAACATTTTAATCATATACATGCTCACACTTTAGTGCTATGATATCTGTAAAAATTCCATATTGGTCATGTACTTTCAGATAAAAGTAAAGCAAGCTACTTTTACAACTAGTTATGTTGCAGCTCTTCTTAAAGACAAAAACACATAGTCAAACTTCAGCAGAGACTTCTCCACGGACTCAAGAACCAATTTAAAGTGTTTGGAAATTTGATCTACTGAACAAACAGTGGTATACCAATGTAACTACATCAGTTTTGGCAATAGTTTAACTAAAAAATACACCAGTAGAAAGTAATTAACATGACAGCTGGTATATCATCAGTGTAAAGATACCTTGTACAGACATAATTTAGGACTCTATAGAGCAGCTGTGATAAATCTTGTTGCAGAAATCTAATACACTGTACTATTTTCGCTCACTCATTTCATGTATACCTGTGTTTTACATTTCAGCTGACATCACCAGCAGAGGCAGGTTTGCTCTCAGTTATGTACAGTGAACCAGCTTTTGTGGTTCCTTAGCATTTCTGCTAGAAGTGGCAATAACATCATAATCTAACTGCTCTGCAAGTGTGAGTTCAGAAACAGTAATAAAAAGGGTGACCTATTGTCCTGGGTAATTGCTTATACTGGTATAATCAGTCAGACCATACACAGCAGAAAACTGAACTGCTCTCACCATGATGTTGCAATAGACAGGTAATTTCACAGATACCTAGGGAGGGGGAGCTGGTTGGTTGGGGCTTTCTGGGGAAAAGGAGGTGACTTTGGTTTGTAGGGGTGTTGTTTGTTTGCTGTTTGTTTTGGGTTTTTTTTTGGGGGGGGGCGGGGAGGCATTTGTTTGGGTTTGAGTTTTTTAATAGCTTTTCTTTAAAAAAAATAGCTGTTAAACAGCTATAACTTCATAGGGCTAATTAATTTCTATTAACAGGAATACTTACAAGCAACAATAGATCTTAAAGCAGTACAGGTTAGGCTTAACCAGATAAAGATATGCATGTATAATGGCTATATTTTAAATCAAATTTGCTCAAAAATAGCCCTTAACTACTTTGGTGTAGCTTTGTATTTAGACTACAGTATAACTGACCTATTCAAACAGTCACAAAGAATCCTTTCAGAATGTGACATTTGAATACAACTCTTCCAGGAAATTATGCATTTTTAATCACATTGCTGGCAGCCCAGTTTAAAGAACATCAAGGACATGAGCCAATTTCATCTGCCAAGCCATGGACAGCTCTACTCAAAGTACATATATCTCTGAACACGGTCATCTGATTGGGGTTCTCCTGTGAATCACTGTTGATTTAAGCAGGATGCAGAAGAGCAGACTAGGAGCAAATCACTTACTACTCAGAGGCAAAGTTCAAGTGTTCCATGTACTCTCCTAGCACCCACTTACGTGCCACATACTGTCATGAAAAAATGAATACAACCACAGTTCCTCCTTCCATTTACTTTTCCTGCTGCCAATACAGTGTATTTTAATCCCATCTTTCTGGAACACAACTGTCCCGCACATAATGCTGCCAGCCCACAACTCTATGTACTGACCAAAATGAAGAAAGAAGATTCAGCTCAGGCATGTTTGCACTTAAAAAGCCTATTTCTCTTGTTCATCCCTTTCCCCACTGTACGTGTTATTTTGTAACAACATGCACTGTACTTTTTGTAGTGCTATGATACTCCTGCATTATATGGCACAAGGAATTCAGCTAATGGCATGAGTAGCAGCCTATTGTCTGCAATCCCTTGGTTAAATATTAAATTCTTTGTAATGTCAACAGCTCCTTATGCTCACATAACACAGGGTAAGACTAACTGTTGCCAAAACACTGCTGAATCCTGAAAGCTAAGCAAATCAAGGATGTTTGTGACAATGCAAAAGCATGCTTGATGTATCAGACAGGAAATGTTCTCTTCAAGTGAGACAGCATGCAAAACACGTCTCCATGTACCAGCTCGACTACACTGAAGTTTACGCTACACCCTGTAGCAAACTCACTGCCACAAGCTCCTATCAATCACCTAACTCAGATGTCTGCTGGGATCATGGCATTTGTCGAAACACATACTTCACACAGAAGAAACTTAAAAGCTTTATTACACAGATGTATTTAGTATTCTTTGGAAATAGTATTATTGGCTCCTAACAATGTTATTTATGCTCACCATACACTACACTTGCAAATTTTTCACTAAGGCACTCACATTTTTTCAGACCTGAATGAACAGTGGTGAACCATTTGCAAACATCGGACTCACAAGGGTATTTCCTCCATCTGTAGTGAAATACCTGTGCTTTTCAGCTCCTGTTTCTATGATAAAAATCATTCTCCAATCACCAAACAGACAATATATTTAAGAACAAGCCACCGGCTCCTGTGGCCATTTGATAGGCAAGGAAGGACAACAGGAAAATATACTCCAGCATCCTCATGAAAACTGAACATCAACAAATCATAAATAACAAAACTCTATTACCATTTTGATATGAAGTACTCAAGTTAAAGAAATTAAATCAAGTTCTCATGCTGCTTCCTGGTAAAGCAAACACACCTACTAAAATAAGTTTTTTTCTTTTTTTCTAAAGTGTTGCTGTTGTTTCAAATTAAAACTAAGACTATCAATACTGTACAGAAAATGTTTGCCTTCATCCACTTTGCAGCAATGTGTATGTATTCTGTTTCTCCCCTTCTGACAGTTTCTGTAGTTAAACTATTTTCTTTAGCCAGGAGAATATGATCACAACTTTAAGAGGAAAACCCACTCTAAAATCAATAAAAAATAACAACAGGCTAGAGATTACATCTGCTGCTCTTTCAAAATTCATGTGCAAATTTCTAAGGTTAATAATTAATTTTAAAAAATTTCTAAATTTCTATCCCCAGTCAGCATTGCTCAGCACCCTTCCCATACTATGAATGCTGTGTTGTACCAGCATTAAACAGGGTGAGAACATGGATATAAATTTTCATTATCCCTTCATCGACCTCTAGCATATACTGCAGAAACAGAGGACAGGTTTTAAAAAAAACAGATGCCAGCTTTTGATGGCAGTAACTGACACAGAAAAATTTGGAATTTTAGAGTTTCTTTTTTCTCAAAAGACATCTCTCTCATTAGTAAACACAGAGTTTTCATATCTGTTATATGACACATTCACACATTTCTAGGGATAACACTGACATGCCACCCTACAGGAGGGGTCAAAAGGGATGACTTACAAGACAATCTCTTACTCTACTGAAAATAAACTTGAAATAATGGATGTTCCTATAAAAGATGAAAAGATTCTTAAAAGCTAAGTTTTCCTTTCATATATCTTGCTACCTAGTTTGTTTTCTGAACTGCTTAAGCTTTAATACAATAACTGAAAACTTAAAACCACAAATGCTATTTTCACATATAATCACAAATGCCAAATATTTTGCAGACATGAAGACATCTCTTCCTTGATAAAGAATGAGAACCAAAATTGTTGTACTTTAGACAACACATCATGATGAAACAACAGGAATGATGCAATTAAGTGCTAACGCCAGCATACTACTACATCCTTTTTTTAATATTCACATGAAGGGGACTAAGTGGAACAATTATGCAGATTTCAAACAAAAGGCATCAAATGAGGAGTCTAAAGTTGATAGTAAACTTCAGCACTTTAATCACATAAAAGTCTTGTGATATTATGGCTTTAAATCCCTACACAATAGCAGGGGAAACTATGCGGTTAACACCCAGCAGCACTGAGCAATGGAAAACTATAACTCACAAATACTTAATTTGGGATAAACCTTATGTATTGTCTACCCAGCAAAATAAATTTATATTTCTTAATTAAATTTTATTTTAAAAATAAGCTTATCTAAATATATATATTTTAAACAGGAATTACAGCAAGAAACACAATAAGAAATATCACATGCATAAAGCAAAGTATTACTTCAAACATTTAGTTCTTGAAGACAATACAGAAACTCTGAAAAGGGTAAATAATCAATTGGCCTATCCAACAAGGTACACTTACATCTTCATTCCAGTCTTCTGCTGTCCATTCTTCCCTTGAGTTTTTCCATACTCCTATTGTAGTTTGGGTAAGGAAAGAAAACAGTTACATGCTAAAAGCGCAATGTCATATTTCAACTGTTCTGCTTTATAAGTGATCCTGTTTTCATTATTAGTGGAAGACAAAGCAAGGACATGGTGGTTGGAAATATGGGAAGCTCTAGAAAATTGGTCTGCAGATTTGAAATTTTGGGAGGTTCCTCCCCCCCACCCCCTTTAATTTCTGATTTCAGGAATTTCTTAGCCACTATGGTACCAAATGCAATTCACATGAACATATGTCTGCAACCAGTGATTAATTCCAAATATTGGAAGAGCTTCCTCCTACGTTCCCAATGAAAGTTAGAGGTTACTCAATCCTCCCATGGGACCTCCGAGTTTCATGTACAAATTCATACATAACCTGAAGAAAAGAGAACCACAACACCTGCTCTGACATCCATAATCCTACTTTCAACATACTCAAATTCAAAACCTAAGCTATGCTTGTGAAGGCTCCTTTCCAACCTGTTAACTCTCTTCTCAGAGCAGAACAACCCCAATCCCTTCCCTTAATAGTGCAGTTTTATCTTAAAACATAAATAATTCAAATAATGGCAACAGAAGAGTCAATAAGCTTCCCGTGTAGGTGCAAAACACTTCGTCCTGCAACTTGTGGGAGAATTTATTTGGCAAACACTGGAGCACAGTACGCAGTCCACAGTATGCAGCAACAGTAAAACTACAGGAAACAACCCGACAAATGCAAAAACCTGATCCCTTCCATAGGAAACAGGAGGCACAGACAGGCAAGAGCAATAAATGGACTGAAGGCATTACCCACCAGCATCAGCATAGGGAAAGTTCTCAAAGCAACAACCAGAGCTTTCATTTAAACTACATAACCATGAGCAAAGAAAATACCAGCAGTAATGTTCCTGCTACCATCACCTCCGACCAAATACAAAGGCAGAAAAATTACTGCTTTAATCATTCTTTTACTTAACCAGGAAACCTCTGAGACACATTCAGCCAGAAACAAGCTCCCTGAAGAGAGCATCAAATCAAGCTTGTACTAATGCTACCACTAAACTCAAGCATTCTTTTCCACACTGTTACAAACTAAGGAGCGCGGCGTCCAGACTAGAAAGAAATCCATCAGATTTTTAAGGTATAGAGAAGAGATTCAGAGAAGCTCTATGGAGAAGGACTTGGGGGTGTTGGTTGATGAGAAACTTAACATTAGCTGGCAGTGTATGCTCGCAGCCCAGAAAGCCAACCGTATCCTGGGCTGCATCAAAAGGAGCGTGACCAGCAGGTCGAAGGAAGTGATCCTGCCCCTCTACTCTGCTCTTGTGAGACCTCACCTGGAGTATTGTGTGCAGTTCTGGTGTCCTCAACATAAAAAGGACATGGAATTGTTGGAACAAGTCCAGAGAAGGGCCACGAGGATGATCAGGGGACTGGAGCACCTCCCGTATGAAGACAGGCTGAGGAAGTTGGGGCTGTTCAGCCTGGAGAAGAGAAGGCTGAGTGGAGACCTTATAGCAGCCTTCCAGTATCTGAAGGAGGCCTACAAGGATGCTGAAGAGGGACTCTTCATCAGGGGTTATAGCGACAGGACAAGGGGGAATGGGTTCAGCCTTAAACAGGGGAAGTTTAGGTTAGATATAAGGAGGAAGTTCTTTCCTGTTAGGGTGGTGAGGCACTGGAATGGGTTGCTTAAGGAAGTTGTGAACGCTCCATCCTGGATGGAGCCTTGAGTGACATATTTTAGCGTGATGTGTCCCTGCCTATGGCAGGGGTGTTGGAACTAGACGATCTAAAGGTCCTTTCTAACCCTAACTATTCTATGATTCTATGAATGCGCTGGTTTGGGCAGAGGAGGGCCTAATAGCACTAATCCAGTGAGGCAAATAAACCTTCCACGAAGATATACACATGGTAGGGAGAAGAGGTGAGTTTTATACCTTGTGGTCCAAACTTATTTGGCAGGTCCTGAGCAAGGTAACATCCACTCTGTGTTAGCTCTGTATAGCAGTACAGAGTTGCTAGAAACATCTCATGCACACATTTTACCAAGGAGCCCTTAACCAGAAGGTTTCTACATGCTGAAAAATAACTAATAATCATATCTGAGCACAGCAAAATTACTACAATGCCTCAGATTTCCAGACTAAGACACACATTTCCACAGAAATTTTGGTAAGGAGGTAAAGCCCAATGAACAGAAGTTTTTAGAGAAACAGTTGATTTTCTTTCCCTTCCCCTAACCAGCACAGGAGCTCTTCCTATGGTATGCCTTCTTTAAGAAATACATTCTGGTATTTGCCCTGCTTATATTTATCTCCCATCAGTCAGAGAAAGGCCTGCATCTGCAGAAGAGAATCCTTATGCTGGTGCCAGAACTCTAACAACACAGCTCAGAGTTTGGTAAAACAAACACAAAAAGAGCTCAGACAAATCAAGCCCAACTCTTGAACATCCCCCTGTCACATTTGGGAGATCAAACCTATTTAGAATAATACTTGGGACATTTTCCTGACATTCAATTTAAATGTTTGCCTGTTGCTCCTAATTATGACCATGGTTCTGTGAGTTTACTTTTTAAATACTTTTTAAACACAGCCCTTCAACCTTTTATTAGCTTACCCAAGCCAAGTACATTATATTGTGGCTTATTAACACTCTACCTTCCCAACTCAATCATTACAGCCTCAGTTATTTCACTGCTCTTCTCTGCATTAAATCCCATTTCCTAACTCCTTCCTCTTATTGATGGAATTCAAAGTCTGACCTTGACACAAGTGTATAATTTCCTTTTAGTCCAAAATCCACCTTGGCATTATTGTAACTCCCATATATCCTCTGCCCAGCCTTTACCCCCAAGCCTTGCAAAGCATCACAATTTAAGAGTTCTCTGTTTTCCACTGAAATTATGCATTGTGTTTTCAAGGATCCTTGTCATAGCAACTTCAACCTTGATGGCTTTGACTCTTTCATATATCCCTTCATAACAAATTTGGTTTTAGAAAGTTATAAAGCAATATACTATATGGTTTTGGTAAGTCTTCACAGATACTTTCCTCCAATTCCTCACTCCCTGTCACACTATTTGTTTGGTGGTTTTCTGGTGGGTTTTTTTGGTGACTTTTCTTTTTTCGGGGGGGGGGGGGGGGGGGGGGAAGGGTTGGTCTTTTTTTTTTTTTTGGTTTCTTTTTTGTGTTTGGTTTTTTTTGTTTGGTTTTTGGTGGGGTTTTTTGTTTTGTTTTGTTTTTTTGGTTGGTTGTTCATTTTTGTTGTTGCGGGTTTTTTGTTTTGTTTTGTTTTTTTTCTGGGGGTGGTATTTTTGTTGTTTTTTTTGGGGAGGGTTCCCCTTTTAAAAAATAATCAGTCATAGATACTAGCCCCAAAATAATTTTATTTTGGTCTATCCCAAATGTATGTCCTTTTCTTCCTACTGTGATTTGATGTGCAGGATCACAGAATCATAGAATCATAGAATAGTTAAGGCTGGAAAGGACCTTAAGATCCCACTGACTTGTACATTACAAAAAAGGTAAGAGACTGAACTCTCAGCATGACTGTAAAAAAATATCAATCATGGTGTTTAAGTTTATTCCCTTTTGGATGACCTTTCTGGTCGTTTTGTCTCTCCTACCTGTCCCTTCTCTTTGCCTTTCATTTGTGCTCATTTCTAGAAAAATTAGGATGCAGAAAATCTGATGCTGAATTATTTGGAATACAATTAAACTTAAATGTTATGAACCATTAAAGATGTGCCCTTTACTCTCTTTTTTTATTTCAACCAACATTGCTAAATTTTACTTCCACAGAACCAGCTAGCTTTTCTATAAGATTGCATGATGGTGCACCTAGAAACACCTTTCATTCAGGCTACTACAATTCCCCTGGTGCCTGCAACAATTCAGGACAAGTTCTAGAGCACTTTCAGAGCACATATGGGGGCAACTACATTTTGAAAAAAATAGCATATTTGTTTTAAAATGTTAATGTCAATCCTTTCCCAGCACTGGCTTAAAGAGGAAATACTTAGTGAATACTCAGAAATTCACGAAGTTTACATTTACAAATATTTTTATATTAGAAAACTTTTTTATATGCAAAACTGGTTTTGTTTCTCTGGGTAGTCACCCAGTTATCTCCTTTTTTAATGTAACTGCAGATCAAAGACTAATTTTCAAGTTGCTAGAATGAGCTTTTTTTTTTTTTTCTAAGATGAAAGAAGAAACAGGACTGGGTAATGAGAAATAAAAAGAGGGATTTCCATCCTGTACTTCCTCAGTGTATACTCTTATCTGACAACCTCACTAGCCCACTGCGGGTTTTATGGATTTCCATACATATATACATTCACATCTTTAATAACTCCACATTAGTAACTTATTTATTACTGGGACTGTTGATTTGCAACTAAGGTAACAGCATTGTAAATAATAAAGAAATAAATTAATAAATAAACAAGCCAAACAAACAAAAAACCCGACAAAAAAAACACAATTGAAAACTAATATTTGTGATTAACAAGCCAAACCACCAGCTCAACTTTGTACAACCTGCTTCCAGCCCCACACTTTGTCTGCCACTCCTCCTTATCCCTGCTTCCATCTTCCTAGCACTCTCTCTTCTGCTTTAAAACTACTACCCCAGTTGCAGCCTCCTCTAACAGACCTCAAGATGCTTTCCATCATAACGTTGAAAGTGCTTCCGACTTGGACAAAATTAAATTATTCTATATTAAAGCCTACTCTTTAAAAAGAGATCTTTTTGGCTCAGGGACATACTCTGACATTCCTATAGCTTGTCTAAAAAAGAAACACTAAAATAAAACTCTCTTCCTACAGTCATATACATAGACATATTTTTGTTTTGTTAGTTATGGTGTCTTTTCCATTTGCACTAAAAGTAAATTAAGATGATCAGCAAAAAGGCACTTAGCACCCAAAAAGAACATTCACACTTAACTAGTTTGAATTTCCACCAACCAAATGATTTTGCAGGAACTCCCTACACTGACACCCACTCATTTATACCCCTACGAACCATCATCTGACAGAGCCAGGGAAAATTCACAAATGCCTTCTCATACCTTCTTCTCCATACTATGCTCCCCAACTTTCCATACACACCTTAAATTGCGTTACTGAAGTTCACTGCAGTTCCCAGTGACATGTACAAAACCTAACAGCAAAAGCACACTTGACATCCAAAAAGAAATTCCACATGTCGACTTGTACATTTTCAATTTCCACCAATCTGTTTGGGCAGCAGCAAACCCCTTATGTAGACACATTTGTACTCTTATAGGAATTGGTTTACCCACATCAAACTACTCTTATTCCTAGGCAGAATTCTTCCATTACCAAAGACTGAGGAGTCTTCCATTACTGAAGACTGAAGAGACGCCTACAAGAAGGAAGAGAGGTTGCCATAGGAGAAGCACATGAAGGCTACCTAGAGTTAGCAGGGACGGTCACGAACATTCGAGCTCACTTGGGAAGTAGAGCACAAGTCAGTTATTTGTAAGCCACAGCCTTACAGTTGCATTCATTAAACAAATGAATTTTCTACCTCTGGTTTAGTTTCCCCATGCCTTTCTTGTATGTTGTCTTTAATTAGTTAACCTTATTGCTTCTGCACTACTTGTGACAACATACCCTGCCTGCCGCTACCATATAGAAAACAGTATCAGTATTCCTTGGGGAATTTTCAAGCCATTAGGTGTCCTTCTAAACCATTACCTGATAAGCTTATTTGATAAATTTGAATGTCTCCAGGGAAGGAGACTCTACAACCTCCCTGGGCAGCCTGTTCCAGTGCTCTGTCACCCTCACTGAGAAGAAGTTTCTTCTCAAGTTTAAGTGGAACCTCTTGTGTTCCAGTTTGTACCCATTACCCCTTGTCCTATCATTGTTTGCCACTGAGTAGAGCCTGGCTCCATCCTCGTGACACTCCCCCTTTATATATTTATATACACTAATAAGGTCACCCATCAGTCTCCTCTTCTCTAAACTATAGAGACCCAGCTCCCTCAGTCTTTCCTCATAAGGGAGATGCTCCACTCCCTTAATCATCTTCGTTGCCCTGCGCTGGACTCTCCAGCAGGTCCCTGTCCTTCTTGAACTGAGGGGCCCAGAACTGGACACAATATTCCAGATGGGGTCTCACCAGGGCAGAGTAGAGGGGAAGGAGGACCTCTCTCCATCTACTAACCACCCCCCTTCTAATACACCCCAGGATGCCATTGGCCTTCTTGGCCACAAGGGCACAGTGTTGGCTCATGGTCATCCTGTCGTCCACTAGGACCCCCAGGTCCCTCTCCCCTACACTGCTCTCTAACAGGTTGTTCCCCAACCTATACTGGAACCTGGGGTTGTTCCTGCCCAGATGCAGGACTCTACACTTTCCCTTGTTATATTTCATCAAGTTATTCCCTGCCCAACTCTCCAGCCTGTCCAGGTCTCGCTGGATGGCAGCACAGCCTTCTGGCCTGTCAGCCACTCCTCCCAGCTTAGTGTCATCAGCAAACTTGCTGATAGTACACTCAATTCCCTCATCTAAATCGTTGATGAATATATTAAATAATACTGGTCCCAGTACTGACCCTTGAGGCACTCCACTAGTTACAGGCCTCCAACTAGACTCCGCCCCATAGACTACAACTATCTGTCTTCTCTCCTTCAGCCAGTTCACAGTCCACCTCACTACCTGATCATCCAGTCCACACTTCCTCAATTTAGCTGTGAGGATGCTGTGGGAGACTGTGTCAAATGCTTTGCTGAAGTCAAGGTAGACCACATCCACCGCTCTGCCATCATCCATCCACCGTGTTATTTCCTCATAAAAGGCTAAGAGATTGGTCAAGCATGATTTCCCCTTGGTGAAGCCATGTTGACTGCCCCTCATAACCCTCTTATCCTTGATATGCCTTAAGATGGCACCAAGGATAAGGTGTTCCATCACTTTCCCAGGGATGGAGGTGAGGCTGACCAGTCTATAGTTACCCGGGTCCTCCTTCTTGCCCTTTTTGAAGACTGGAGTGACATTTGCTTTCCTCCAGTCCTCAGGCACCTCTCCCGTTTCCCAAGACTTGGTAAAGATGATGGAGAGTGGTCTAGCAATGACTTCCGCCAGTTCCCTCAGCACCCGCGGGTGCATCCCATCTGGACCCATGGATTTATGGATGTCCAGATTGCTCAACTGGTCTCTAACCCATTCCTCATCCACTAAGGCAAACCGCTCCGTCAACCTGACTTCATCTAAGGTCTCAGGGGTGCAGGGCTCTTCAGGACTGCCTGCAGCAGAGTAGACAGAGACAAAGAAGGCATTCAGTAACTGCCATCTCTGTATCTTCTGTCACTAGGGCACCCATCCCATTCATCAGTGGGCCTACATTGCCTCTGGTGTTAGTTTTATCTGCCATGTATTTGAAAAAGCTCTTTCTGCTGTCCTTGACCCTTCTAGCCAGGTTTAATTCTAAGGAGGCCTTAGTCATCCTAGCTGCCTTCCTACATCCTCTAGCAGCAGCCTTATATTCCTCCAAAGTGGCCAGCCCCTCCTTCCATGACCTCTAAACTCTCCTCTTCCACTTGAGCATACCCAGCAGTTCCCTATTTAGCCACGCAGGTCTCCTGGCCCTCTTCCTTGACTTTCTACGTGCCGGGATGCTCCGATCTTGAGCTCGGAAAAAGCAATCCTTGAATGCCAACCAACTATCTTGGGCCCCTTTACCTTCAAGCAGCCTTGCCCATGGGATTTCCCCTAGTAATTGCTTGAAAAGGCCAAAGTTTGCCCTGCTAAAGTCCAGGGTTGCAATTCTACTTGCTATTCTACTGGTCCTACCACACAAGATCCTGAATTCCACCGTCTCGTGGTTGCTGCAACCAAGGCAGCCCTCAACCCTTACTGCTTCGACCAGACCCTCCTTGTTAGTGAGAATGAGATCCAGCAGCGCTCCTCTCCTGGTTGGCTCATCCACCATTTGCAGGAGGAAGTTATCATCCATACACTGGAGGAACCTCCTGGACTGTGGCTGGGTTGCTGAGTGGTCCTTCCAGCAAACATCAGGGAAGTTAAAATCCCCCACGACGACCACGGCCTGTGACTGTGAGGCCGCTCTCAGCTGCCTGTAGAAGGCCTTGTCAACTTCCTCACCCTGATCTGGTGGTCTGTAACAGACATCCACAACAGTATCCTTTCCAACCCTAACTATTTTATGATTCTATGATTCTATGAGCAAAAGTTAAAGGGGCATTTCTGTTTGCACTATAGCACCAAGTAATTTCAAAAGTAATTCCTTGGAAAGATGCATAATTTGGCAAAAGGGCTCCCTTTCAATAACCATTAATATACTCAGTGCCACTCTCCAACACTGGACTAGAAAGCACTCAGAGTGACAAAACAGCTGCCTAATAACCCCTCCTAAACTCTGAGCCTGTTATTGTTTTCTCTGGTTAAGTGCAGAATAGCTTGTATGAAATGAAGCTGTATCTCAAGAGGCTCACAGCAGAGTTCAAAGCACACACTGCCCTCCAGTATCATTTCCTTCCACCCTTGACACAGAGGTTGATGAAAAATCATCTGAATAGGCTTCAGCAATGAAGAGATCAGAAAAGTTCCCCTTTGCTGGGGTAAAAAAAAAAAAAAAAAAAAGTCTCCTATCACTCGAAGGTTCCCAAGTGTGGACAATAACATACATTAATTTCTCCATCCTGACACTGGGTTTCCTTTGTCTTCATCTCTTGTCACAAAGTATGGGAAGTTGCGAGGTATCCTTTTTTCCCAATCACAGACAAGCAGGTCACATTCTTCATTTCTGAATCGCCATGAGATGATTGCTAAGTGGTTCCTTTCCAAACTATGTCTGTGCCTTGCCCTTAGCTGGGAGCGCATAACTTCACACTTGAAATTTCATACAAAAAAAAAAAAAACACAGCTGCCTCTATCTTCAGACAGACAGACTGTTCTTTTGGCTTCCATTCAAGAGCCTACTCATGCTTTAGTTAATAATTCTTTTCAAAGGTGTCAGATCTTGGAACTCTCCTCCATCACAACCTCACATCCTTACATTCCTGTGTGGTACAGGTGGGGCTGCCAAAGCTATCCCAGTATCACCGAGAATTTACACTCCTTAACTACATTAGGTAAGCTTTTAAGCAGTACTTCAGATATCTAAACATTTCTTCACAATCAAGGTTCTTCCAATAACTCTTCAAATCCCTTTGTCTCTCCCGGAATTGTTAGTACTAATAACAAACAAACAAACACAAACAAACAAACAAAAGAGGCAAACTTTCTTCCCTTCATTCTAACCAGAGTCACTCAGGCTACAGCATGTACTCTGCATATCAGTAGCAAATGAGCTATAAAAGTGAACTAATATTTGTGTCGCCTGAGATGTATTTACATTTTCAGAAGTTCACTGAACACTAATAGAATGGTTATTTTAACTGCAATTTGCTACAGTTCTTCATTTCAATCCTTCCACTTCTTGAAGCATCTTACCAGTTCCATCATCTGCATCATTCTGACCAGTCTCCCAAATATCTGATTTTGTCCCAAAGCCATCAGTGGCAGAAGAGTCCGTATAGTCTGCAGGGTTAAATGTCCTAGAGTTTTTAGGGTTAAGAAATGGAAGAGAACACATGGGTCATTCACTGAACACAAGTGTCATCATTTTTAGCTGAAGTTGTATTAAATTTAACATCTCAATTTCCACATAGTTTTTGCTTCAAAGAATTTTTTTTCCTCTATGAGCAGACATAGATAAAAAGGGGAAAAAGGAGGCAGAACTTTCAGCCTCCAAGGCACTATGCGGCTGCTACTGATAGGTACAAATAGGTTCTCCAAGTATGAGATACTGACATTGGGTAAACTTACATTAGGTTTATATGTGTGTATAATTACAAAACAAAAATAATCCATTAATCCTCTAACAAACCTATGATTTTTTGCATCCATATTGGGATATCAAACACATAGAAATATTAATACATACAGAGGCAATATTAATATAGTTAATTAATATTGCCACTGAGTTTGATCATTGCCAAAATCTGTGCTCTGCATGTTTCTTACCCCATGCCTTGGGCTGAAAACCTCCCCGCTCCTCTCCCTCTGCCACGTCCAAACACTAGGAGAGAAAACACCATTTAACAAGTAACAGCAACAGCAGAAGAGCCACCAATCGCTAGTCTGTCACATTAGAAAATACCATGGTTGAAAAAGAAAAATATCATTTACTTCCCAAATTTCCTCACAGAAGAATTTTTCCCTAACACACGCAAGTAAACCACAGTTCATCTAGGAGAACATCTTCCAGGAGGACTTGAAAATTCTTTGCTATCTTTTCTGTATCTAGTGAAGTAGCTCCAAATGCCAAAAGGACTTACCTAAAGACCCACCCTACATGAAATGGCTATTGCAAAATCATTAGACATAGTTCAAAACTTAATCTATAATTACTCACTCTTGCTAAGATGCTCTAGAATCCCAGACTCCCTGTATACTCCCATCTATCAAGAAATTCCCCACCACTTTTTATCTATAAGGAGAAAGTTTAAATATCCCATTTGCTTCCTTCTGACTCAGCCCACCTGCTCACCCCTACCCTCCTGTGCTTTTGCAAACCTGTGACTACACATTCCTTCTGCTTCCCCCTTAATCAGTTACTGACATGAAAATTACCCAATTCAAATTACTCAAACCACCTTGTTATCACATGAAAGAACATTAATTTCTATTTCAACAAGTATTTGTTGCCTCCAATTTTAAGCTACCAGCCTGTTTACAAGCTTCTTGATACAATGAATGGCTTTATTTTCCCATGTTGCATAGCACCAACAAGGCAAGAAAACTTATTTATTAATCATCCATAAAGCACACGTCTACAGAAACTGTTAGAAACTATTTCTTATATGCAGCATTTTTCTATATAGTTTTTTGTTTTGGGGTGGGGGTTTTGTTTGTTTGTTTGTATTTTTTGTTTTATTTTTAAATCTCCTCCTCTTTAGGACCTCAATATCTGAGGTTTCTCCAGTTTGTTGATTTCTTTGAGGAAAACTATGAATAGTATTTTGTATTACAAGAAGCTGCAGACTGAGAGCAAAGTGATGCTTATTTTAATGACAAAATTATGTGGTAATTCATAGAATTGTTGCAGATTATCTTAAGTTTTATTGAATCTTTCTATATTATGTTTGTTTGTGAAACAGGTAGCTATAGGAACACCTTGATTTAAGAAGCTAGCTTTTATGTTAGCATGGGTTGCTGTGTTACTTGAAATCTGCCACTGTGTTGCTTTAAGTCCCTGTTCTCTGTTACATGTTAGCCTTAGTCCTTACTCTCTAGACCAAAACCAGAGCACCTAGGGTCTACTGTATATAGGATGAGTTATTTGACAACCTCGCAAGGTAAATATCTAGCCAGCCAACCTGGCAACAAACTAAGATTAGGGTGTCCTTTAGATGAACTATCCTCATTATACTCACATTATAATACTGAAAAATACACCCACAGACCGAGAAGACCCTTGCCCAGGTGAAGGACCCTTCCTCCATGCAAGCATAGTAACAGAAGAGAATGACACAGCAGATATTATAATTATATGCAAATTACTAACCAATCATCGTAACCAGGAGTGGACTAACTTGTAATTTTTGTGTGTAAATGTAATGACGAAATTGGCATGGAATGTGCTTGATTTGTGAAAAATTCACCTAGCACCCAGAGTTGCAATAAAGAAGTGCCTGCTTCTTAACTTTACATTGGTATTAAGGAGTTTTATTATCCTGACTTTCAGTGACAGAATCATAAAATACCAGGTTGGAAAGAACCTCAAGGATCATCTGGTCCAACCTGTCTTGGCAAAGCATGACCTAGGCTAGATGTCCCAGCACCCTGTCCAGGTAAATCTTAAAAGTGTGAAAAATTTTCCTCCTGTGTCCAACTGGAATCTCCCTGGGAATAACTTCTACCACTCATCCTTTCCATGTGATTCTTTGTAAAAAGGGAGCCTCCAGCTTCTTTGTAGACACTCTTTAAATACTGGAACATAGTGATAAGGTGTCCCGTGAGCCACCTTCTCACAAGGCTGACCAAACCCAGTTCTCTCAGCCTTTCCTCATACGGCAGTCTTCCCAGTCCTTTGATAATATTTGTTGCCCTTCTCTGAACCATCTCCAGCCTGTCAACAACTTTTTTGTACAGCAGGGAACAAAAGTAAACATGGTATTCCAGGTGTGGCCTGACAAATGCTAAGTAGAGGGGGATGACATCTTTATGCTGGCGATGCCCTTGTTGATTTAACTCAGCATCCTGTTGGCTTTCCTAGCTGCAGCTGCACACAGAATCATTACTGTTGGAAGGTACCTCTGGAGATCATCCAGTCCAACCCCCCCTGCCAAGGCAGGGCCACCTAGAGCAGGTTACACACTGTTGTGGTTTAAGCCCAGCCAGTAACCGAGAATCACACAGCTGCTCACTCACTCCGCCGCGCTTCTTCCCCCACACTCCTGGAGGGATAGGGAGGAGAATCGAAAGAATTTAAATCCCACAGGTTGAGATAAGAACAGTCCAGTAACTAAGGTATAATACAAAAATACTACTACTACCACCAATAATAATAATGATAAGGAAAATAAAAAGGGGAGAGAATATAAAACTAAGAAGAGAAAAGGAAAACAAGCACAAATGATGCACAATACAATTGCTCACCACCCACCAACCAATACCCAGACCCACCCAAGCACCAATCTGGGCCTTCTGGGTAACTCCCCCCAGTTTATATACTGGGCATGACATGCTGTGGTATGGAATACCCCTTTGGCTAGTTTGGGTCAGGTGTCCTGTCTCTCCTTCCTCCCAGCCTCCCATGCCCCTCCTCACTGGCAGAGCATGAGTCTGAAAAAGTCCTTGATTGGAGTAAACATTACTTAGCAACAACTAAAAACATTGGTGTGTTATCAGCACTGTTCTCAGACTAAAGTTGAAAACACAGCACTGCACCAGGTACTAAGGAGAATAATGACTGCTACTGCTGAACCCAGGACACACAGGAATGCATCCACGTAGGTTTTGAATGTGTCCAGAGAAGGAGGCTCCACAACCCCCCTGGGCAGCCTGTTCCAGTGCTCTGCCACTCTCAACGTAAAGAAGTTCTTCCTCATGTTAAGGTGAAACTTCCTGTGCTTTAGTTTATGGGCATTGCTCTTCATCCTGTTGCTGGGCACCACTGAAAAGAGTCTGGCACCATCCTCCTGGTACCCCCCTTTGAGATATTTATATGCATTAATGAGATCCCCCTCTCAGTCTTCTCTAAACTAAACAGGCCCAGCTCCCAAAATTTCTCCTCATAAGAAAGATGTTCCAGACCCCTGATCATCCTTATTGCCCTCCACTGGACCCTCTCCAGTAGCTAGCTAAAGGGGTATTCCATACCACAGTACATCATGTCCAGTATATAAACTGGGGGGAGTCACCCAGAAGACTCAGATCACTGCTCGGGATGGGCTGGGTACTGGTCAGCGGGTAGTGAGCAACTGTACTGTGCATCACTTGAGTTTACTGTTGGGTTTTTTCCCTTCCCTTTTTAGTTTTATATTTTATCCCCTTGTTATTTCCCTTATCATTATTATTATTGGTGGTAGTAGTAGTATTTTTGTATTATATCTTAGTTACTGGACTGTTCTTATCTCAACCTATGGGATTTACATTCTTTCAATTCTCCTCCCCATCCCTCTGGGAGCAGGGGGGAAGGAAGAAGGGGGGGAGCAAGCGAACAGCTGTGTGGTTCTGAGTTACCGGCTAGGCTTAAACCATGACACTTGGGCAGCCTGTTCCAGTGCCTCACCACCCTCACAGTAAACAACTTCTTCCTTATATCTGACCTAAATCTCCCCTGTTTAAATTTGAGCCTACAATGAACGTGAAGTTGTTAAACAGGTTCGTCACAAACGGTTGAGAACACTTCATTAAGATAATTTGCACACATGAATGCACAGTCTAAGATATTTGTTAGAGATACAGTAATTCTATGTACACTAAGCCACTGAACAGAAATTGAAGTTTTTTCTTTTTCTTCAGTCAGATATGTCAGTTTGATTTGATGATTAAGTGCTATGACATTAATCTAGAGAGCTACATTGTTAACAACAAAAGCAGTGTATAAGGTTACAAAGCAAATAATGGACTGCATTTGAGATTAGCCAAGTATTTAGAAAAAATCTGCCTTGATATTTATAATGTGAGTATAAAGGATTATTTTATACAGCAAATTCCAAAAAAACTTACATTCCATCAATTAACAGCACTAACATACCAAAAACTGTAGCTGTGACCTATACCACACCCTACTCTGCAATGTATCTACCTATCCGCACATCCCATTTGATTCACAGGCACAAGAAAGTCATTCTTGCAGCCCTCTGGAAGCTACATGTCCTTGCATAAGGATGTGCCTGTCTTTGACTGACTCCTTACTAGTCATTCATAAGAGAAGTGACTCCCCTGAATGCAAAATTTTTCCAAAGTCAAGTCACACATTACTTCAGTAACTTAGCTCTGCTGTGCACTTTATCAATTTAACTCATTTAATACCCACTTCCCTACACAATCTGCACTGTACCTAGACCACTCAATTTCATTCTTCCTGCTTTAAGAAAAAACAAGCCTCTTTCCACTCTAACCTGTGAAAATCCAAACCAACTACACATCCCTTGATTCCATATGAAATCCATTTTCAACATCTTTCCTATCTCTTCTACAGGATAGGGTCAGAGTTGTACCCAGTATTCCACAGTATTCTCTTTCCACACTTATCCTCATCAATTCTTCCATGCCAAATTCCTTCTCTTACCAAAAAGCTTCTAAGGTGACTTTTATTTTCTCTGAGTGGGTACCAAAACCAGAAGGCAAGCCTGACAACCAGATCCACCCCAAAGAAACAGCACAAGTACATATCAAATCCCTCCCCCAAGAGTCCTACAGATGAAATCTTGTACTCTCCTGCTGCCAAGGAACATCTTGAGGAGCCCAGTGCGCTCCCAATTCAGAGGAGGCTGCCATTAGTTGATCTGAGAAAGCAGCTCTCCATATCCAGAGCACACCAGCCTGCTACACAGGAAATTACCATAAAGATGATTTGGGTGAATTCTTTTAAGTTGTTCTGAGACCAAGAAATGAAAAGGGATAAAAGTGAGAGGAATGTACCTAAATCAAAGGTGGCTGAAGCACTTATGGAATTAAAGGATAACCAACAAATGCTTAAAAAGAAGCATTTAAAGAAATAAATGGGAGAGTTCCATTTCAGGACATGAAATCAGTACCAGTCCCACACCAATGGCACCATCTCACCTGCTTGGGCTTGGACTGGGAAGCAAATATAAAGATTTTTCAGATGGTTGACAAATATTGAATTTCAGTTTACAGAAAGAGACAAGCAGCATCTGGCTCTTGCAAAAATTTTGCCCCTCACATATATTTTGACTGATCCAATTTCAGTTTTTTCTAAGCATAGCTTAGATTCACAGTGTCTTCACTGGCACAATACTTTAATATATTCCAATAATGAATTAGAAGAGTTGGCTAATATTGTAAAAATTTTTCCTGCAATTAAGTGAAAAGCTAAACATATTTTCTTCATTTCCATTTCTCTGCTCATCTATCAGTGCTGTGTATGACCCTTACTGGCAGTGTATACAACTTTGATACTGCTGATAATACTTACAGAAAAAAGCAACATGCATTCAGTGGCAATCTAACATGATGCTACCTAACTTGGAAACATCAGATGCACCTGTATAAACTGTAGCAAGTGTTTAAACATTTCAACTCAAAGAATTTTCCCTGTTGTAGAAACTCGCCTTTGGTTGGCTTATGTGAGTAATATATGCTAGAGATTAATACTGATCCCAGTCTTCCTCTTATGAGAAGATGAGAACATCTTCAGGTTCTCCCACTCATAAAAGGAGATGGAGACAAAGCTGAATAATGTTTTCATTAAAAGAAACAAAAAGGTATATCAGCTGTGCAGGAACATACTTGCTCTCCAGCAGTCTTACAAAGACTAGATTCTAAAACTTACATAAAGAACAGCAATTTGTACAAGATAAATTACTCAAAAAAGGACAGAAAGTTAAATTGAGTGTCTGAACAAACACAGACCATCTCCAAACCAACTCATGTAGACAGATCAAGCATACCTGTCACAAAAACAAGTTATGATCCCTTCAGCACTAAGCATCTGCTCTCAGCCAGTTTCAGTTGCAAGAAGTGTTGGAATCTATAGACGTGAACCCCTATACGTACACTCTTGGCCATGGCTGCCTCCTCTTCCCCATCTGTTGGAACTTCCCCGTCCGTTGGAACTTCCCCGTCCGCGACTCACTTCTCTGTCCCCTCGTTTTTCTCTGTTCTCTGAACTTTCTTTTCCAAGGCTTTTCTTCTTTCCCCCTACAGTCTCCCAAGAAGTCTATTTGGATAGAATTAGATATAAAAGTCAAAAAGAAAGAGACAGGTCTCAATCCATACTTCCACCTCACACCACTCCAATTTGGGGGGCGGAGTATTTGCATAACATCACATAATGTAATGCCTTGCAAATGACACTGATGCAAATGGAAAAGAAAAACCAGGGTGTGTTTTTTTTTTTTATATAGAAACATAGAATGGTTAGGGTTCAAAAGGACCTTAAGATGATGCATCATAGAGAGATGAGGCTATAACAGACTTTAACTAGTTCAAGGAACCACAACACAGAAAATCTGCAAAGCAAGCAACATTTTCCCTCTCAACTACTTCCATAAGTCTATAGCAAGGGAAGATGCACAGAGCTATCTTTTTCCCTCAAGGAAATGAAAATATGCTTATAAACATCACTGAACAAGAGACTGATGAGAATAAGAGAATAAGCACATGGACTAGGGGGAAAAAAAATAAACAAACTGTTGTGGTTTAAACCCAGTCAGCCATAAATCAGCCATGCAGCCTCTCTCTCACTTCCCCCCTTCTTTCCCTCCCCCTGTTCCCAGAGGGATGTGGAGGAGAATCAAAAAGAATGTAACTCCCACTGGTTGAGATAAGAACAGTTTAGTAACTAAGGTATAACACAAATCACTACTGCTACCACCAATAATAATAATAATAAAGGAAATAACAAGGGAAGAAAATACAATACCACCCTCCGACGGACACCAAGCCCGACCCCACAGTGAACTAGCCCTTCCGGGTAACTCTCAGTTTACATCCTGGGAATGACATGCTGTGGTATGGAATACCTCTTTAGCTAGTTTGGGTCAGGTGTCCTGTCTCTGCTTCCTCCCGGCTTCCCCTCCTCCCTGGCAGAGCATGAGACTCACAAAGTCCTTGGTCAGACTAAACATTTGAGCAGTAACTAAAAACATCGGTGTTATCAGCGCTGTTCCCAGGAAAAAAGTCAAAAACACAGTGCTGCACCAGCTACTAAGAAGGAGAAAAAATGACTGCTACTGCTGAACCCAGGACACAAACAAACAAAAAAAACAAAACAAAACAAACAAACAAACAAAAAACCAAGAAAAAACCCCATATTCAGACAAAGTAGAATTCAAGCACCAAGAGAAAGAATTGCAGAAGAACAAACTGGGAAAACTGGGGCCATAAGCCTGACCATCCACTCCTAACAGCTACAGCTCATCACATGCAGCAAAACACTGGAAAAAACCCTATGTTTAAACAAGATAAGGGACCGAGGTCCAATCATCAGGCTTCGGCTTTAAATTCTGTCTTTAAAATAAAATGATTCTACCTCTCGGCATGGGAATCCACCATAGACTATTGAAGCTGCCTGTTTTTGTAAGGGAGCTAACTGATTACAATTTCAGCTGAGGATGCCTGAAGCAACCCAACTGACAGTTCTGAGCCTGACCTCTGAAAATACGTAACAGAAGCTGCCTTGCAGGCCTGATCTTAGAAAGAAGAAAAATCTGAAAGGTCCCCTTTGTTCTATCTTCAAAGGTTTAGGAAGTAAAACATCATTGAGCATAAAATGGATCTCATGCCTGTATTCAAATTAAATGAATAGAAGTCTTGAGGGGGAAAAAAAAAAACATGTCCTTCTCTACTCTCATCCACAAGCCTCTGTTTATCCAAAGCCAGACTGGCACAACTGTTGCAAGTAAAAAGTCTTCATAAAGACTAACATTCATACAGCATAAAGCCTTAAAGATCAGAGCATTAAAAAATTAAAAAACCACCACACCAAAACCAGCAGAGTACCAAAGAAGTTATAATTAGACATTGTAGCTATTACTCCTTGCCCTGCAAATTCCCCAAATTGGATAGACACATCTTCTTCCAAATGAAGTTAAAAACCCCCAAACTTATAGTGTGTCAAAGCAGAGTGGAACTAGAAAGAGAGTTCTGGGAATCCACATTCACAACTAGTATCACCTCTATTTCCGACTTTACATCAGATCCACAGTTAAACTGTTCTGGAGTATACTGCCCTTAAAATAAACCCTTCAAGTTGGAGGCCCACAAACTTCCACGAAGAAAAATAAGTTTCTTCATGCTCTGATGAGAACCCCTTCTAATTAACACTCCTTCCTTGGGCCCTTTAAGTTCTCTGTATTTGTTTGAGTTTCATTCTGCCTATAGAGAGCAGTGGGTCCAGAGGGACTTGTCAAAAAAGCAGAACATACGGATACATTGCTTCTACTTGAATAAAGAATTCAGAAAGTTTCTTCCATGACATGATCACTTATAACAATTTGCTAAAGGAAGCATTTAGCATTCCCTATCAACCAGAAAACTATTTTCAACTAGAAAATAGCAAATCTGAGAAGTACAAGAGAATGCAAACCCAGCACATTACCAAGACAGATTTAATCAGGGTGAGATGCTCTCTTCTACTCCCAACTCACCAGCTCACTCAGTATTATATACTTCTCTGTTTTAGATGACCTCGATTCTTAGAAACTAAAAGGGGATAGAAAAGAAAATCCTCCCAGTATAACAGTATGTATCCTAGATTTAGGGCGTGTCATGGTTTAAACCCAGCCAGAAAGCTCGTTCACTCACTCCCCCCCCCCCTTTTTTCCTCCCTCTTTCTTTCCTTCCCCCCCCCCTTCCCTGCTCCCAGAGGGATGGGGAGGAAAATCAAAAGAATGCAACTCCCATGTGTTGAGACAAGAACAGTCCAGCAACCAATGTACAACACAAATCACCACCTCTACCACCAACGACAACAATGATAAGACAAAATAACAAGGGAAGAGAATACAATACCACCCGCCAAAAAACGAGTCCGACCCAGAAGACCCTGTGTCCTTCTGGGTAACTCCCAGTTACACCCCACCCCGGGCATTACATGCTATGGTATGGAATACCTCTTTGGCTAGTCTGGGTCAGGTGTCCTGTCTCTGCTTCCTTCTGGCTTCCCCTCCTCCCTGGCAGAGCATGAGACTCACAAAGTCCTTCGTCAGGGTAAACATTACTTAGCAACAACTAAAAACATCGGTGTTATCAGCACTGTTCCCAGGCTGAAAGTCAAAACACAATGCTGCACCAGCTACCAAGAAGGACAAAAACTGACTGCTACTGCTAAAACCAGGACAGGGTAAATTTCTTCATTAACAATAAACCAGAGCACACATCCTGACAAATGACAGAAAAATACTGAATTTGCAGCATTAAGAAAGGAAGCCCAGGTTTCTTTCCCAATTTAGGTGAGATGGAATCTAGTTTAATACCCTGAATAAACTGTAAGAAGTCCCTCAAGCAAAAACTTAAACTGCAGCAAGACATTTTAATGATATCTCTTGGAGTAAAAAACTTCTCTGTGCACACTGTTTAGTCTTCTCTTTCTGTTTTTCAATATTCCTACAAATGAGCAACACAGTGAAAGGAGCATCTACTCGCTCTATCCTCTTCAGCCATTAGTAGCGTTCTCAGTTCAACTATCAGACAGAATCATAGAATCGTTACGGTCGGAAAGGACCTCAAGATCATCTAGTTCCAAACCCCCTGCCATGGGCAGGGACACCTTACGCTAAAGCATGCCACGCAAGGCTTCATCCAACCCAGCCTTGAACACTGCCAGGGATGGAGCACTCACAACCTCCCTGGACAACCCATTCCAGTGCCTCACCACCCTAACAGGAAAAAATTTCTTCCTTATAACCAATCTAAACCTCCCCTATTTAAGTTTGAACCTGTTACCCCCTGTCCTGTCACTACAGACCCTAATGAAGAGTCCCTCTCCAGCATCCCTATAGGCCCCCTTCAGATACTGGAAGGCTGCTATGAGGTCTCCACGCAACCTTCTCTTCTCCAGGCTGAACAGCCCCAACTTCCTCAGCCTATCTCCATACGGGAGGTGCTCCAGTCCCCTGATCATCCTCGTGGCCCTCCTCTGGACTTGTTCCAACAGTTCCATGTCCTTTTTATGTTGAGGACACCAGAACTGCACACAATACTCCAGGTGAGGCCTCACAAGAGCAGAGTAAAGGGGCAGGATCACCTACTTCGACCTGCTGGTCACACTCCTTCTGATGCAGCCCAGGATACGGTTGGCTTTCTGGGCTGCAAGCGCACACTGCCAGCTCATGTTCATATTCTCATCAACCAACACCCCCAAGTCCTTCTCCACAGGGCTGCTCTGAATCTATTCTTTGCCCAACCTGTAGCTTTGCCTGGGATTGCTCCAACCCAGGTGCAGGACCTTGCACTTGGCATGGTTAAACTTCATGAGGTTGGCATTAGCCCACCTCACAAGAGTGTCGAGGTCCCTCTGGATGGCATTCCTTCCCTCCAGCCTATCAACCGAACCACACAGCTTGGTGTCATCAGCAAACTTGATGAGGGCACACTCAATCCCAATGTTTATGACACGGACAAAGATGTTAAACAAGACAGGTCCCAACACCGATCCCTGAGGGACACCACTCGTTACTGGTCTCCAGTAGGACACTGAGCCATTGACCACAACTCACTGTGTGTGGCTATCCAGCCAGTTCTTTATCCACTGAGTGGTCCATCTAACAAACTGATGTCTCTCCAATTTAGAGACAAGGATGTCATGTGGGACAGTGTCGAACACATTACACAAGTCCAGGTAGATGACATCAACTGCTCTGCCCCTGTCCATCAGTTCTGTAGCCCCATCATAGAAGGCCACCAAATTGGTCAGGCAGGATTTCCCCTTAGTGAAGCCATGCTGGCTGTCACCAAGCACCTTGTTGTTTTTCATGTGCCTTAGCATGCCATCCAGGAGAATCTGCTCCAAGATTTTGCCAGGCACAGAGGTGAGACTGACTGGTCTGTAATTCCCTGGATCATCCATTTTCCCCTTCTTGAAAATGGGGGTTATATTTCCCTCTTTCCAGTCGTCGAGAACTTCACCTGAATACCATGATTTTTCAAATATGATGGCCAGTGGCTTAGCAACTTCATTTCCCAGCTCCTTCAGGACCTGTGGATGGATTTCATCAGGACCCATGGACTTGTGCACGTTCTGGTTTTTAAGATGGTCTCAAACCAGATCCTCTCCTACAGTGGGCACAAGGTCTTCATTCTCACAGTCCCTGCATCTGCCTTCCAAGACTTGGATGGTGTGGTCAGAGCCTTTGCCAGTGAAGACCGAGGCAAAGAAGTCATTCAGAACTTCAGCTTTCTCCAAATCCTGTGTAGCCAGTTCTCCTGAGAGCTTCCGGAGGGGGCCTACATTCTCCCTAGTCTGTTTTTTATTCGCTACATACCTATAGAATCCCTTCCTGTTATCCTTAATACCCCTAGCCAAGTTTAAATCTAACTGAGCCTTAGCTTTCCTAACCTGGTCCCTAGCTTCCCAGACAACATCCCTGTATTCTTCCCAGGCCACCTGTCCTTGCTTCCAGCTTTTATAAGGCTCTTTTTTCCTTTGAATTTTTCTCAGCAGCTCCTTATCCATCCAAGGAGGTCTCCTGGCCCTCCTGCTGCACTTCCTCCTAGTTGGGATGCAACACTCCTGAGGTTGTAGCAGGTGATCCTTGAATATCAACCAACAGTCTTGGGCCCCCCTGCCCTCTAGAGCTATATCCCATGGAACCTTCCTAAGCAGGTTCCTGAAGAGGCCAAAGTCTGCTCTTTTGAAGTCCAGGGCAGTGAGCTTGCTGCATGCTCTTTTCACTGTCCTGAGGATCTCAAATTCAACCATCCTGCATCCAAGGCTGCCCTGGAGAGTCACATTTCCAACGAGCCCTTCCCTGTTGGTGAGCACGAGGTCAAGCATGGCACCTCTCCTTGTCGGCTCCTCTATTACTTGCAGAAGGAAGTTGTCTTCTACACAATCGAGGAACCTCCTGGATTGCTTGTGCTGGGCTGTACCTTCACTCCAACAGATATCAGGATGGTTGAAGTCCCCCATGAGAACAAGGCCCTGTGAGCGTGAGGCTTTTCCTATCTGACTGTAGAGTGCATCATCCTCAGGCTCCTCTTGGCCAGGTGGTCTGTAACAGATCCCCACAGTAATGTCTCCTGTCACTGTTCTCCCTTTAACCCTGACCCACAAACTCTCTGTTGACTGATCACCTGTCCCCAGACAGAGTTCCATACTCTCCAGCCTATCCCTAACATAAAGAGCAACTCCCCCTCCCCACCTGCCAGGCCTGTCTTTTCTAAAAAGCCTGTAATCTTCCATTCCAACACGCCAGTCATAGGAGCCATCCCACCATGTTTCTGTGATGCCTATTATATCACACCCCCGTAGACGTGCACACAACTCTAATTCCTCTTGTTTGTTCCCCATGCTACAGGCATTTGTATAGAGGCATGTGAGCTGAGCTCCAAATGAAGCCAGCTCATTGGCTGGAGCAGCTGGAATATCACTACATTGCTCTGAGCATTTATATATAGATGCAGAAACCTCCTCCAATTTCAATACTGACAACGCAAAACCTACAGAAGTTACATAACTGAAAATATCTGCCTGCCCTTTAAGGTTTATAAAGACTGCCTTCTGTGGCAAACTCAGGTCTCAGGGTTGCAGAGGTGCTACAAAGTAAGTACAAACACTGCAGAAAAACCAGGCCTGTGTCTGACAGAGCATCGAGTTCTGCTGCAGATTTAAAACTGCTGCATGTAAATGAAAGCCAGAATGACTCTGCAAGAGACCAGCTGAACACCCATATTTTCAAGGTTCAGCCTATTCTAAAGCATGCATGCAGTAGAGAAGCTGCTCTAGTCTCCATTTCCCTCAGAAGAATTTTAATGGAAAGATGGAAATCAAAAGCCTCCAAAATATGACTTTGCCAATCACTTTTAAGAAGTAGAAAAGCACAGCAAACAGAGTGGTTTAATATGAAGGTAAAAACTTACCGTGTCTGAACTTCCTTCCAGCAGTATGTTGATTGCTCTGTTCACATCCCCATTACAGTCATGTAGTGCCACTATGCACTCATCCTGGTTTTTCCCTGTCACTTCGATAAGCTGGCAGTAAGAGTCAGACATGTTAAAATATCCAAATTGTCATTACAAAAAAAAAAAAACAAATAGAGTTAGCACTGCCACAGATTCTAAAAAAGTACATAGTTACTGCATCAAAGCAAACTAAAATCCTAAATAAACACAAATTAAATGGTAATCAAGAAAGCACTCTCTCACACTTTTTTTTTCCCCTTTCACTTTATGCTCACAGCAAATGCTGTCACTCCTGGGACAGCAGCATATGAGGGTAAAGATGCAAGAGACCAGGATAACTCCAGTATCATCCTCTCTCTCCCCAAACATCACCCTCTTTATCCCACTGTGTGAGAACAGATATAAGGTATGCCATGGCAGAGAACAGATCCATCTGGAAAAACATCCAGATTAAGAAAAGAATTTATTTTTCAGCCAGATCAGTGCTCTCGATCCATTTCACAGCATAAGGCCACACAAAAGGCATAAGTGACAGCTGCTTAAGGAGACCTAGTATGGAATTATGCTCCATGGGCCTGTGGTACACATCCTGAGGTGTGTGGGATAGAAACAGTCTTGTCATGGGACATCCAGCAACTCCACCCAAAGAAAAAAAAACAAAACAAAACAAAAAACCCCCCACAAAAAAACATGAGCAACAGAACAAGTTTATTACAAGAACAAAAAGCACTTAATACTTCAGAGAAGATTTTACAAAGGAAATCAAGAAATCTGATCCTCTGCTGCATTAATGCATTCACAATACTTCTTCTCTCCTGGGTGTACTCCTTCATGAGTTGTGATGCGTTCGGTAGGACAAAATCACTGATATCCACAGCAGAACAGGGACCTGAATTCTCAATACTGCTGGAATTAATGGTCTCAGCTATAATTCAGTAATGGAAGCTCAAGCATCTACACCCAAAACTCAGCATGGTAGAGGAAATGATTTCATTTTCATAGTATAATGCTGTAATTTTAACACATATACAGATCTGGAAGGTCAGATTATTTATTTTTTTTAACAACACTTCAATTCACTTTCAAGCTATTAGATTTTTACTTTTCCTGAAAAACAGCCAAGATATTGGCAAACTCAGTTTACACAGGTGACATTTTTTCCATGTGAGTGTACATGTGGACAAGCAAAATGCACTCTGTATTCTGACAAACATTAAGCATCAGGACCATACTAGAGTTATCTTTGCTGATGTCTCTTCCAGAAGGTATGAGCCTTGGCTTAAAGGCTTGTCTACAAAGGAAAATACACCAGTGTAACTATACAGCCAGAGATATATACCTATATATATGTGTGTGTATGTTTCCACACAATTTCTTGTAAACAGACTTTACAGTGCAATAAGAGCACTTTTTCCTACTTAAACTTATGTCCTTCTGAAAAAGGTTTCGTCTAAATCAGAAACAGACACTCTAGCTCCAAAATGTAAACCAACTTTGGAACACCTTATTATTGCAGGGCATAAGAACTCTGTACCATAACAAACATACTTGTTTCACTTTATCTTCAAAATCTGCATCGTTCTTATCGTAGATCATCTGAGCAAGGCGAATCTGTTCTGCTGTTGCCTGTAAAACCCAAACATCCAATAAAGTACACAGAAGGTAACAATATATTTTTTTTTAAGTATCTCCTAGTGTCTTTTTTTTTTTTTTTCCAGAGTCTCAAAAAGAACATATGCAACAAGCACAGAGGTGCTATGGGGAGGGGATTAACATCTCCTCTATGCCCATTTTATAGTCAAAAAGGTAGCTAGGATAGAAGCAACTTCAAAATGTTCTAACTTGTTTGAACCACAGTTAAAGGTCACCACATAGACAAGACAACCATATAATAAAGTAGAATTTATCACAGAAGCCTACACTTTGATATTATTACTTTTATTTAGTATCTACCACTCCAGAATTAGAGTTTTATCATAGCAAACTGGCACCGTATTTCTAAATTAACCACATCTGACAATTCCTGCTCCCATTACTTTCCACAACTCTCCCAATAACCTGACTCTAGTTTTACAAGCACTTAAGAAGAAATCAAGTCTTGCCTCAACATTTTGCCAGTGAACAGTTGCACTTATTTTCTTTATAAGCAAATACTGGTCTCTGAAAAATGCTAAAGGATCTTGCTACTGACGTAATGTTTCTGGACCACAAATCCATGCTGGCAACTTCTCAAAAACCTGAAAGACTAAAATAGATGGATGCAGTAAAGTGCCTGTCATGGTTTAAACCCAGTCAGGCAACTTGTTCACTCACTCCCCACCCCTTCTTTCCCTCCCCCTACTCCCAGAGGGAAATCTCCCGGAGAGGAGAATCAAAAGAATGCAACTCCCATGGGCTGAGATAAGAACAGTTTAGTAACTAAGGTAGAACACAAATCACTACTGCTACCAACAATAATAATAATGATAAAGGAAATAACAAGGGAAGAGAATACAACACCTCAGCACCAGCCAACCGATAACTTGCCCCCCCCCAGCCCAACCAAGCTCTGACCAATACCTCCTCCAACCCTGCAGTCTCCCAGCCCTTCCGGGTAACTCTCAGTTACATCCTGGGCATGACGTGCTGTGGTATGGAATACTTCTGGCTAGCTTGGGTCAGGTGTCCTGTCTCTGCTTCCTCCCAGCTTCCCCTCCTCCCTGGCAGAGCATGAGACTCACAAAGTCCTTGGCCAGACCAAACATTTGAGCGTTATCAGCTCTGTTCCCAGGCCGAAAGTCAAAAACACAGCACTACACCAATTACCAAGAAGGAGAAAAAATGACTGCTACTGCTGAACCCAGGACAGTGCCATAAATCCAAATAGGCCCCAGAGAGAAAGCAACTCAAGAACATTAACATCTCATCATACAGGCCACTCTTCATATTGTGGCATTTGCAGTCTAATTCAATTGCACTCCCATGAAAATACCAAAGATAACTGCTGGACCTAATTTGATTTGTGCTCAAACAGAAGAGGCTACCATCTCATACTAGAGAAGGCTGATACTGAAGAGAGCCAAGACCCAAAATGCGAGTTGATGTGCTGCAGATGACTTCTTCATTGAGAAGGGGAACTACTTTATCCACTGAAATTCTTGATGGAAAGGATTCATCCTGGGCAACTGGTTGATTTACACCTTTCAGTCTCACTTCACAGGATACCCACATGAAATTTTGTGCCTCATGAGTTCAGACTTAATCAGCCTCAAACTGCTTCACTTTTGGAGTTAAATAAATACAAGCTCTAGAGGAGGTAACTAAGTGCAAATCCTGAGAAGAGTCTAAAAATTACTCCACCATACACCACCAGCTGCTTATCTGCTGAGAAGTTACTGAAGCTGTCCCAGTTCCTTGAGAGAAGCAACATTTGCTGTGCTCAGAGGCTATGTTCCAAGACAATTAGCATTCGTAATGGAGTTAAGGACTCTGCACTACTTCACATTTTCAAAGTGTCATGCTGATAGCTTCATACATCAGTTGGTAACACAGGGAAGAACCTGCTCTGGAATACCCCATGACAGCCCTGGTACCACCCCTCCCACCCTCTATGAAAGCCTCCTGGCAAGCACAGTACTCTGTGCGAAGGAGCTCGCTCTTGGTGTCTGCTGAGAGCTCAGCAAAGAGCAAAAGCAAAAGGTCTGCTGGTTTCAGGACATTAAGCCCTGTTGATCTATCTTCTCACTCTGATTTAAGCCTCCTCAGGCCCACTGCAACTTTTAACCTAGTGAAGAGATTTCCTTTAAAGGTATCCAGAATAAAAACGTTTAGACAACGCAATTTCTGTAGACATGACAGCATATTTGACCAGAAACAGGAAACCGTTTTCATTTTTTTCTATAAACCAACTTTTTTCAAGTCAATGTTAAAAGACAAAAATATACCAATTTTATGACAATATCAAATGTTTGACAGTATCTTCAGTTTTCCTGTGTAAGGCGAGAGCTTAGAAACAAGTAGGTGCGATATCACTAATGTTTATGCCAGTGGATTACACCCAGATGAAAACTGAAGATTCAGAAGAAAAAAAGTCAACAAAGCCACAAGAGGTGTTTACTATACAAACACCAAATCAGTGTCACCAAGTTTTGGTTTCTTTCCCCAGCAACTGGTGGTTATTTTTAAGGCACCAGCGTTACAAGTAACATTGTAGTATCCTACAAAAGAGTATAATTAAGTTTTAATTGCAACTATAAGAAAATAGCAGCATCTTAATACAGCTAAAATTTTGTTCAACCTTACAGGATATATTATTTTTGCAGCATAACAGAATGCAGGAAATTAACAACTTCAAACTACCAGAGAACAGAAGTGTGCAAAACACAAAATTAAGTGACAGTAATAGGTCCAGATCTTATAATAAAATGGTATATTTATTATCCAGAAGCAATGCAAAAGAACTGTGATGCAATTTCTTAAATAACTGAAATGATGATCAATGAGACATTATGATATGAAATCTCCATTTGGGAAAGCAACATTATTCTACATTTGGAAAAATGAATCCATAGTAAGCGAATAGTAATAGTAAATAGTAAAAAAAAAAAAAAATGAATCCAAGTAATCGAATAGTAAACCCCCATACATTTCTGTTGATCTATCTGCCAATGTCTGCCTTGTTCCATGGAACCCCAAACTGGGCAGAACACTCCACTGCTGTTTTACAAATGTCAAAAAAGGGAAAACCACCACTTCTGTCAACATGCTAACTGTATTCCTGTAGCCTTGTTATAAAACAAAACGAAATTCAATTTTATCTGCTGAAAGTCGCTTTCTAAATCCACACACATTCTTCCAAAAGAGTCTGTAATTCCTCCCCCATCTTTTCTCAGTTTTTATTGACTTATGAAGAAATACATATCATTACATGCACACTTTCAACTCAAATTATATAGTATTACATACCTGTACTACTTGCTTCTGTGGTTGTGCTGGCTGTGTGGCTGAAATTTGTGTTTTGTCCCGAGCGCCCCGGGTACGTTCACCAACCACTGAAGTCATCATATATAGTATATACAAAACAATGTATGTACAAAACAGAAAATCTGACAGGAAAATTAAAAAAAAAAAAGAGCATGAGTTAGGACAGGGTACTGATTCGATACCCAGTTACCATACAAACGCAGTAACTTGAACTCTTCCTGCATTTAACCCGAACCCCATGCAGAGACTCTCGAGAAAGCAGTTTTAATACACTATTATTGGATTTATCTCAGTCTTTACTATAAAGGGGGAAATGCAATGGATAAAACACATTTTTGTCAGCTGATTTGGATCTGCCTAGATCTGTACTTCCAGAGGACATCTAAATATCATAGCTTTTCACAGTGATTTAACATATAGACTTTTCCATCTACTGAAATTTCAGCTCCAGCTGTATCAATCTGTCAATTTCTGTAATGCCTGCTGTCTTGATTTGATGCCTGGAATTTAATCACTCTCATACCCTCTCAGAACACTAACGCAAAAAAAATCACATTCACAAACGTGTCAGTTCCTCTCTTCCCCATCATCAAACTGCTTTCCTGCTGTCCTGGGTTCAGCTGTAAGTTATTTTTGTCCTTCTTAGTAGCTGCTGCAGTGCTGTGTTTTTGACTTTAGTCTGAGAACAATGCTGATAACACACCAATGTTTTTAGCTGTTGCTAAGTAATGCTTACTCTGACCAAGGACTTCTTCTGTCTCATGCTCTGCAAGTGAGGAGGGGCACAGGAAGCCAGAAGGAAGCAGAGAAAGGACACCTGACCGGAACTAGGGTTCCATACCACAGCACATCATGCCCAGTATATAAACCTGGGGGAGTTACCCAGAAGGCCCAGATCACTGCTTGGGTCGGGCTGGGTGTCAATCAGAGGGTAGTGAGCAATTGTATTGTGCATCACATGTGTTTATTCTTTTCATTTTCCCCTCTTAGTTTCATATTCTCTCCACTTATTATTTCCCTTATAATTATTATTAGTGGTGGTAGCAGTAGTTTTGTATTATATCTTAGTTACTGGACTATTCTTATCTCGACCTGTGGGATTTACATTCTTTCGATTGTCCTCTCCATCCCTCCAGGAGCAGGGGAGAAGGGGAGGAGTGAGTGAGCAGCTGCATGGTTCTGAGTTACCAGCTGGGCTTAAACTACAACACCTGCACACATATGGAGGTCATGACTAACATCAAATCTACTTCTCGCCTCTCATTTATGAGATGATCCTTACCTTTAAATCCAGCTACTATTTCTCTTTTGTTCTCCCTCATATTTACAGAAATGACTTACAAAACTACCTATTACCTTGCTCTAAACATACCTTTGTTGCATGGCAACAAAGAAACCCTAAAGAAAACACAAATATCACACACATCACTGCTACCCAGTTTGAGGCAGTCAGCTTTTATTCTCTTCTATCCTCTAGCATGAAAATTACTTTGAAACAAGGAATTTATTATTTCCCCCGTGCTTGTACAGCATCTAACATAAGGCTAATTGATAAGCACAGTTTAGAATAGGTATGATAAGAGAAAACAGATCTCTCAGCTGATCAGAACAGTCACTCAACTACCTGACTTCTGTCACCATTACACTTGGAAGCAAAACTGCACATTTAGGGAATTAAGGACAACCTGCAAGTGGTGCACCTGGGTAGAAGGAGATGTACAAAGAAGCAGCAAAACGCTTCTACTGCAGCCCCAGTGTATGAATGTGTCTCAGCATGCACCTTGTCAGGGCAGCAGCCTTGGTGAAGGCTGGCTATCACTGAGCTAAGTGCACAGTAACGCTGAACAATAAAAATTGAGCAAACTGCTGTGACCACATAGACGTGGATATGTTCAATACCCACCTGCTCACTACCACTCACACGTAATGGGTACTCAGTAATTGCAATGAGATGCTTCAATTTAAACACTGATTGTCAATACCTGTGATTTGGAGAAAACTCCAGGAACAAATTTGCCAACAAAGTTTTCAAGCTGACAAGCAGGTATTCTTTATTGCAGCGCCAGGAGATACGGGGGATAGCTCCTTGTAACGTGTGTCCCCATAGTGCTACACAAGCCGTCCTTATATAGTCCCTGGGCATACATATATATTCATGAGGCTACATATGGATTACATAATTTTCCAGAAAGTTCCCCGCATGCGCACAGAATTGTGGTGGTGGTCTCTGAGGGTCGTTTACTTCTTCCAACAATCTTCATTGCTTTTGGCAGCCTTTGAAGCACACGCAGTAGATGCTCATACCAGTTTAATTGGTTCGTTAGCACCAGAGACATAATAATCCTCCTGTCCTCCTACTTATCAGTTAGTTTAACTGTAGCCCATCCTGGACACCTGTGGTTCCCAGATACTCCTTATCCCTGTGTCCTGTTCTTCTAGACTGTTTTTCTTAAACTATGTCACAACTATAACGATTTATCTTGTACAAGAATTCTCAGTATGTTCTCTAGCTGCACTCTATTTTTTTCTATGTAACATGCACCTCAGTAGTTTTCCATTGCTACTGTTACAAAGCCATCAAACTTAACATTACTTAAAACTAATTCTAAAGATTTCTATATTCCATTTTGTGATTTTGTGCACCCCTGTCTCACTTGGGAACCTCATCTAGATTAAGACAGACCCATTATCATCTAAATCTCTTCTTCACTTTAGAAATACATTTTTGTTGGCCAAAATTGAACCCCAACACTTAATTTCTTTATGTGCTAGTTAAGCATTCAATGAAATCTGAGAACACATATTTCCACAAACTCTTAAATATTTAACAAGAAAAGGCCTGCCTTTACCAGGAAGTAACTGTAGTATGAGCTGAATTGGAACACTATTACTCCACCTTTATGAATATGTTCACCAAAGCCAATCTGTCTCCTAGTCTCTCAAAGAAGTCTAACTTTGTTGCCTTCTAAGCCCCAGAACACACAGGCCTTCAGAGAATGGAGCTTGATGTGGAGATGGTCTGAAGAGCAAGTTCAACACTTATTGCTGGCTATCTGGTCATGGCTGTCCACTAATATTTTAAACACACTATGGACAATCTTGTCCTGGTTTAAACCCAGCCAGCAACCCAGAACCACACAGCCGCTCGCTCACTCCCCCCCCCCCGCCCCATCCTCCCCCAGCTCCTGGAGGGATAGGGAGGAGAATCAAAAGAATATAACTCCCACGGGTTGAGATAAGAACAGTCCAGTAACTAAGGTATAACACAAAACCACTACTGCTACCACCAATAATAATAATGATAAGGGAAATAACAAGGGAAGAGAATACAACCACTCGCCACCTGCCAACAGATGCCCAGCCTGACCCGAACAGCGATCGAGCCCTTACAGGTAACTGCCCCCAGTCCACACCACGTGATGTGCTGCGGTATGGAATACTCTTTGGCTAGTTTGGGTCAGGTGTCCTGTCCCTTCTTCCTCCCAACTTCCCCTATTCCCTGGCAGAGCATGAGACTCAGAAAGTCCTTGGTCAGGGTAAACAATACTTAGCAACAACTAAAAACATTGGTGTTATCAGCACTGTTCCCAGGGTGACAGTCAAAAACAAAGCACTGCACCAGCTACTAAGAAGGAGAAAAATGACTGTTAGAGCTGAACCCAGGACAGTATCCAACCCTTATTCCATATCATTCACATCATGCTCAGATCCCACATTTTTCAATATACCATCATTCTTGTCTCTCATATATATATACACACACACACATACAGATATCATTCCTTAGTGCATGGACCAATCCCTATAAAGCTGCTGAGTTCATCTGGTCCATGATGTCGGGCTCCATCTCTTGTAACCGTCTTTTAGAGCAGGAGAGAAGGTGTGCAGTATTGGACTGTTGCCTGCTGATGACATCGTGGAACTCATATGGTCACTGCTGAGCTCGTCTGGTTTCATCAAAGTTCATTCTCTGCTGAAATGATGGTCGGAAGAAAGTCAGGGCCAGTCACTGGTGACCTGAAGACATCTAGTTGATGGGCTATAAAAGTGTTACATAGCAGGCAACAGCATACAATTAAGTTCACTGGCTGTTTTCCCCTAAAATCAAATTCCCTTGAGGTATACAGCGGACTTCCCCATCTTCACACATTCCCCACCAAGTATATCTGGGTCCCTGAGCAAAAGCAATCCCATGAATGGGTTGGCCTTTATCTAAAGGAGGAATAACCCAGACCCTTTTCACCAGCAAATTCTTTATGTGCACCACAGGATTTATCCCCCTCTACAGTACGTAAAAGTTCTGACTGGGCTGGGCCAACCCTGTTGGTAGATCCTCTGGTGTTGACGGACCAGATGGCTTTTGGTAAATGTGTAGCCCAATGTTTGAAAGTCCCACCACCCATTGCTCACAGCCCACTGTACCATTCGATTTTCCCAGAGGCTGGGGCATGGTAGGGGATGTGATATACCCACTCAATGCCACGCGCTTTGGCCCAAGTGTCTATAAGGTTATTCCAGAAATGAGTCCCACTGTCTGACTCAATTCTCTCTGGGGTGCTGTGTCGCCACAAAATCTGTTTCTCAAGGCCCAGGATAGTGTTCCAGGCAGTGGCGTGGAGTACAGCATATGTTTCCAGCCATCTAGTGGTTGCTTCCACCATGGTAAGCACATGGTGCTTGCCTTGGCAGGATGTCGGCAGTGTGATATAGTCAATCTGCCAGGCCTCCCCATATTTATACTTCAACCATCGTCCTCCATACCAAAGAGGCTTTAACCGCTTGGCTTGTTTAATTGCAGCACATGTTTCACACTCATGAATAACCTGGGCAATAGTGCCCATTGTTAAGTCCACCCCTCGATCACGGGCCCATCTATATGTTGCATCTCTGCCCTGATGGCCTGAAGTGTCATGGGCACACCGGGCCAAAAACAATTCACCCTTATATTGCCAATCTAAGTCCATCTGAGTCACTTCAATCTTAGCAGCTTTATCCACTTGTTGGTTGTTCTGGTGTTCCTCAGTGGCCCGACTCAGGTACATGAGCATCGACATGGCGTACCTTCACCACCAGGTTCTGCACCCGGGCAGCAATATCTTGCCACAGTGCATCAGCCCAGATG